CTGCTGCCGTTACGCAGCTGAATCTGCCCTGGGTGACCCTGCACCTGTTTTCATCGTGCATCCTGGAGGCAGTCTGAGCTGGTTTTTGGTTGATGTTTTTTTCAGTTGGTCCTAGCGTGAGGTCTAGGTCTTAGGATCCAGAAACTCAGCAGGCAGCTGGTAACAGTGTGGGCAAGGATCAGGGGTTCTGTGGGCAAACTCTGCAGTTGGTTTTGCTGCAGACAAGTGCGATTTTAGAGACAGGAGAGAGAGAAACTGACCTTGAATTTTACTTCTGGGGAAGAGGGGAGGGTAAGGTGGCAGTTCTGCTGCCCTGGTCTGGCTGGCTTTCCTGGTGGATGTGCAGATCTCTGCTTTGCAAGTCGAAGCTTCCTTGCAGGGAATGTTATTTGCTGGTTACCTTTTGCAGACCCTTTAGAAGTAGTCTGGGATCGCTGAGGGTCTGCAGCACGTAGCCTTCCTATTTTCGCTAGTATTCCCCTGTCTGCTGATGTCCCTTGGCCTATTTCTTCTTGCAGAAGGCGGAGGAAGAAGAATTTGCGCGGAATTTGGCTTTGCAGCAGCAGCTGGAAGAGGAGAGAAATCGAGTAGCCCTGATGAAGCAGCAGCAGGCAGAGCAAGAGCAGTTTCATGCCTTTGAGGAGATGATTCGACGACAGGAGCTGGAGAAGGAACGTCTAAGGATCGTGCAGGAATTTGGAAAGCCAGAGCCGAGTCCCGAGACTCTGGATGGACCCCTCATCCCTGGCGTGGAAAAACCCCCGACAGATTTAATCCCGAAGGCTCCCGTGTCTCCAGTTCACCCTGCGAGTCCGTCAGCGGGGACTGTCTCATCCAAACCTCCTGTTGTGGACAGATCTTTGAAACCTGGTGCTTTGGGGAGCACGGAAAACAGTTAGTACCTCTCAGTGCCCCCTTCTCCCTTGCCTGGGCTGAGCCCAACACGGCCAAGGAGCTGATCTGTCTGGGAGGCTCTTGAAAGTAGCTGATCGTGGCTCCGTCCGTTCTGGGGGTTTGTCCAGGGCTGCGGGAAACTGTCTCCTCTTGGGAATCAGCCCCCTGAGGCTTCTCCAGCCCATGTCTCTGCTGCTTGAGAGTCTACAGCTTATTTGGCTTCTCTAGACTGGGGTTTAGTTCCTGGCTAAGCTCACTGAATTCTCCTCCTGACCAAGGTCTCCTGCCATATATGCCTCCAAAATGTCTGGTTCTTGACCAGTGTCTTACTTTAAATGACATTTTGCAAGTGTTTGTGGTTTCATTAACAAAGGAGTCAGGTTTGGACACGCTGCTAAGAGTGTCTTTCTCTACTGATGTCCCTGTTTTGAAAGAGGGAGTGAGTGTCCTTTTATGAAGTGTCACAATCACACCATTTATCTGTGACTGCATTAAAGCAGTTCATCTTTCCAGGCTGAATTTTCTCAGTCTGCTCCCTTCAGGTATTGATCCGAGGGAATATTTCTCCGCCGCGTCCGACCGTCGTTGCTCATCGCGCTCCCGTTCTCCCCACAGATGCAAGCGTGGATGTCCTTCGCCAGGTCATTGTCCCTAGGGAGCTCTGCCAGAAATTCCTCCAGCTGGCCGATGCCAACACCATCCGGGGTGTGGAGACGTGTGGGATCCTCTGCGGTAAGCTGGTAAGGTTAATCCAGGTTCAGTCGGGCGGGGGCCTTTCGTCAGAGCTTTGAAAGTGGCTAGAGGACCCTGATTTTTGCTGTGGAAGGCGTCAGGGATGATCTGCATCTCCTTTCTCCCCCTTTCACGTTAAGATTTCCTCACCCTGAGTGAGTTGCTGGCCATGGAGTCCCTTTGGGTATCCTGCTTCCTCTCTCCCATTGAGGATACTCTGCTGGGTACCTGCCTCAAGCATTCCCACCTTGGTACCAGAAGGACTGAGGTTTCCCAGCTCTGAACTGGGACCCTCACGCAGACCAGGCTGTCCAAACACCGTCTGGAGACGGTTAGTTCTCCCCAGAGAGCTTGCGTGCGCAGGTTTCTAGTGAGGGCTCCAGCCTGAGTCGCTTTGCTGGCAGAAGTTTGCTTTGAAACAAAGTCGTTTGATGTAGCAACTTTCTGCAGCCCAGCTGCTTCCACACGCTCGGTGATCAGGGAATGATGAGGCGGCGTTTCCTACGGAGTGGCGAGATTTGCTTCAGTGGGTGTCCAGGACTTCTCTGAGCTCCCTGCACGGCAGGGAAAATGAAGCAGAAAGCCTAAATATTTCTAAATATTTAGAACCTGTAGCCACTTAAATCGGGAAGGAATGGTGCTCTGCTCTTCTGTGCTTTGTCTCAAATACAGACAGTAACACAGAACTGAACAGAACGGGGGCAGGCACATAAATGGATTCAGGAAACGACCAGCTCGAGATGTGATTGTTATCAGAAGGAAGTGGGGGTTAAACTCAGGGTTTGAACATTATATTTAGGGTTTAAATCCCCACAGAAAGAGCTGTCTGTAGTAGAGCCAGTAGATCATCTAGGGTAGTGTTTCTGTAGCTGTCATTCTGCATCCTGGAATACGACTGTCACAGATATCTGAGGATGGGTGTGCTGATGCAGAAGGCAGGATCAATCTGGAGGTAGCTTAGTAACATCCCTTTGCAGTTATCTGCGAAAAGTAAACTGCGCCTTGCACAGTATCTTTGGAAACCAGCTGCCCTCGTTCCGCTTTGCTCAACACAGTTCTCTAAGAATTTCCTATGCAGTAATAAGCAGTCTTCTAAAATTAATTGTATTGACGATTGTAACAAAAAATCAGAATGGGCTCAGGCTCAGAAAACCTGCAGTTACCCTTTCTGTGCCCCGCATGTGGCTGGTGGATGCGTTCGTGGGCTTGTTCCCAGAGTGGCTGTTCCCTTGGCTGGGCCCCCGAGTGATGAACACATTCCCGAAGCTTAGGAAATCACCTCTGCACCAGTGGGCGGCAGCAACGTTTCCTGCTTGGGGGGGTCTCCGGTGGGTGACAGCCTCCCCTCCTGGTGCTGCCTTGCAGATGAGGAACGAGTTCACGATAACCCACGTCATCGTTCCCAAGCAGCACGGGGGGCCCGATTATTGCAACACGGAGAATGAGGAGGAGCTCTTCGTCATCCAGGACCAGCACGGCCTCGTTACGCTTGGCTGGATCCACGTGAGTCTCTCCTTGCTGATTTTGGGAGGAAAAAGGGGCGCGTGGAGCCGGGGGCTGGCGGAGGACAATTTGCTGGGCTGGAGGGGACGGCGTGGAGCAGGCGGCGTCCCCTGCTTTGATTCCTCCCTCTGGTGCAGACTCACTACTCGCACCGCTGGAGAAATCCGGATCTGATTTAAATTTAGATCCATTCCTAAAGCGCCAGGCCCTTGGGATATCGAAGCTCACGTTTCGCCCGCCTCAGAGGTGACTCTGGAGCATCCCGAGCTCTCCCGCGACGTGTCCCCGTATTTCACAGGCAGCCGCGTTGCCAGTTCCA